TATTTTTTTTAAATGGCGCCATTTACTTCCAAGTAAACTGGAAGTGATGTCACGTTATCACTTGAGGTTTACTATAATGGAGAGCCGTTCAAAGTTGATCCTGGCTTTGTTCGTCTGTCCAGCCACCCGGCAGATGCACTGGCTGGTCTCTCAGGTTTAAATGTGATAGCGGCTGCGGGGGGAGAGAAACCTCCGCCTTCTGTCACAAGGAGGGGGGCTTTGGTGGTGGGAGGCAGGTGATTAGGAGCATGTTACATGTTACACCTTAAATACAGGTGTATCTTGTTACATGTTCCTGAAGGTGAAACTATTCGTTAATGGCCCTGTAATTTAATTTACTTAATTTGTTTCTTACTGTGGTTTTTTTTTTTCTGTTTGTAATGTTTAGAATGAGAAATACACATTAATTATGGTCATGTGTAGTACTTTATGTAAAATACATATCCCATAGTCCACATTCCATCTCAGGGGTGATCAAGAGAGTTTGTCTACATTCCTGCATACTGTGGGATCATGGAAAACAAAAGTAACCACCTTCTATCAGAAAGTCAGATCACAGCAGCAAAACAGAAGGCCCATTTTGAGATAAGAATACATACTTAAATAAAATCTTTTTTTGTTAACCAGATTTTAGTTTCTTTTTTCTTTTGTTTTTTTTCAATTTAGATGCATTTTATAACACCAAAAAATGTCACAAAAGGGCAAAGTGAATGAAAGAAAACAAAAATTATATATATGTATATATATATATATGTATATATATATATATATATATATATATACTTCGAGTTTGAATTTTTAATTGTTTCATCCAGTTTCTTAAAAAATCTGCATACATTTAGTGCCCATACTGTAAATACCTTGGACTCATTCCAGAGATCTCCATCTACTTTCATTTCCTTTATAACTGTGTCTACAATTCATTCTGATCTCTCAATATCTCCCTTGGAGGCCACCTATTCAGATGCACTAGGAGCAGAGACTACAAATGATGAAGAGTGATGGGTCCAAATGAGAGAACACATTCTCAGCACAGTAGCACACTGCTATTAAGATAGATCCAGCCACTGCAGAGAAAACTGCATTAATTGTTTCCAAATTATTGTGTCTCAAATGGGGTGATCCTGTGACTACAGGCACTGGCCTGTGTTTCCAGCCCAGGGACTCCTCCAGCCAGTCGCCTGTGAAACTGGTATGTGAACTACCAGATGCAATGCATTGCACTGTGAGGGCATCCAGTGTCCAAGTGCTGGTATCTGTTCTTGTACTTTACTGTTTGGTTTAATGAAGTCGTGATGCCTCTCCAAATACTGTTCCTATAGAGCAATGTTTCTCAGCCGTTTTCTAGAGAAGGCCCCCCTTAAAATTATGCACAATTTTCGAGGCACCGCTAATAGTTTTACATATTGCAACAGCATCCACACACATAGGGCACCCAACATTAGAAATAATTTATTCTCACAAAGCAAATACACTTTTGCACACTGGTACTCACTAGTATCCCAGCATTTGTTCTACTTAATTTTCTATCCACCATACAGCTAACATGACCCCAGTGCTGATAGAGGGGGTGGAGGATCCAACAAGGATGCTGTGCAGGTGCCAGATGTCCTCCTTATCAACTGATGACATCAGCAGTTTGTTAGGATGCTGGTGGTTGGCCTACATGGTGCCCAAGGTTGCACAATGAAAAACTATGGCTTTGTGTAACAAAAAGGCAGGCTTGATCCCCTCCCCACAATTTGTTAGGCAATTTGGGGCAATTTTTACGCATTTTGTCAAAGCACCCCTGAAGAATCCAGAAGGAACCCCTGGATGCCTAGGCACCCTAGTTGAGAAAGACTGTTTAATTGTTCTATACAGAATGCGTTCTCTTTGCCTCTCTGACCCTATTTGTATTGTTAACCTGCTCCGCGCCCATTTAGTAAAGTTATCTTCTGCCTGTTCATTTGGCTGGTCTCAGGGTTACATTCTCTTTCTAAAGTGTTAGAAATGAAGTTACTTTAAGAGTTATATAACCCATGACAAAGTATACTAAATGTTAATTACTGTTCTAGAATCCTTTCCTGTTTCTCTGTCACTCCATTTTATAAATAAGATTATATATTTTGCCCCACCATTAAAATGGGGCTGATTTTAAGAAATTAGTAGTCTCAGACCAAATATCACTCAAGTTGGACCATCAGTTTGTAAAAACTACAGCTCATGAGATTACCTAACGTGTAGAATTTTTTGGTAGAGAAGATATCACCTAATTGCTTGCACTGCTTTAACCTAAAGCCTAATTTTAGTAAAAATAAGAAAAATTTAGGAAAAAAGAAATTGCTTGCTATCAATGTGATGCATCCCTTGTGCTGCTGTCTCCTGGTTTAGTGGCAATCTTCACTCCTCCAAAACCCCACCTACCCCCATTGCTGTAATCCTCAGGTGCAGGTAGGGGTTAACAGAGCTGAGAGGGCTGTGACAGGAAGTCATCAAGAGCGCCGGCTATGCCCTCCTCCTCCATTCATAGAAGTTGTTCTATTGCTTATGTAAATAAAACACAGATCTGTGAATGGAGGACTGTCAGATGATTGAATGGCCCAGCTCCTCAACTCATAGAAGCTGCAGTGTTACTTCTATGAATGGAGGAGGTTGGCCAGAAAGAACTGGTATAGTTGGGCACTGTTCAGACTGGCCAAATTGAATTTCAGATACTCTAACAAGTAAACCAGTATATTTAGCTGTTCATTTAAAGCTATGCTTTCGCTTTACAGTAATTGTTTTGTCACTTTGTGTCTTTTCATACATATACTTTCCTCCATAGATAGTGCAAATATTCATAAAATTAAGGTTTGTTTGAACAAAACTTGTCGTGTTGACTGTAGTGTATACATTTTCATAAGCCAGATTGGCAAGGTCTCATGATTTTGAGTTCTGTTTTAAATGGTAATTTTAACTGTTACATTTGTAGCAGGGGGTTAGTCAGGTTTTTAGGCAGAGGCTGAATAGCAGCCTGGGATGAGTCAGCCAGGTTACTCTGGGTCAGGGCTGAGGGCTCTGCAGGTCAGTTCCCTGATACCTCCCCCTGCTGTAAAAGCTTGAAAAGTTTCTAGAAGGCTGTGGGAGGTGGTGAGGAGGGGCTGATCTGCATACTTAAAGGATCCTAGCTAATCCTCAAGCGGAAGGGTTGGCATGGGGCCAGGACAGCCCTTAAATGTGAAAGAGCCTGATCAGCAGGAAGAGTAGTGTTGGGTGGAAGATAGAGTGAGGGCTGGAGTGTGGAGCCTGCGAAGAGGACCCAGGGATGGGGCCTACCTTTGGGCTGGTGCTGGATAAGGGAGCCTCCATTGTACCACCAACTGCTAGGAAGGACAGCCTGAACAGTAGGGAAGGAGCCAGCTCAGCGAAAGGCCTGAAGGCAGCCACCTATCCATTAAGCTGCCAGGAAGGACACTGTGTGTAATCTTACTCCTCGTGGGCCGGATAAGGGGAGAGGACAGACAGATGGAGAACCCAGCTAGACCCTCATCTGGGACTGTTTCCTAAATTGGCAGTTTCTGGGTCCCCTGACCCAAGGATACCTCAGGGAGCTGGGTGAAGAGGATTCATCTGGGATCTGAGGAGCTACACCAGAGAGCTCTTTAAAGGAGAGTCTTTTTGTCCTCGGACTTGTACATAGTTGCTAAGGAGTTTGTCCTCACAGTTTTCTTGGACATCCCATACACCCCTCAACCCTATCTAAGTTTAAAGCCCCTTAATAAAGTCATAAAACCAAGCTCGAGGACTATTTACTGTCTCCAGTGTGCAGGTGTGGAAGAGAATAAGTGTTGTCTGGCTGTGCAGAGCTGTAGGGGGACCAAAAAATCAGTCACTCCTAAGGGGGTAGTGTAGCAATTTGTGTAGTGCTACATGCTTTTTTTCTTCTATATATTTTTATGGGTCCACTGGATTATCTGTGAAAGAATGCAATGGGTGTATGAGCTGTGAGCTGTCTTTAGGATCTCAGGAGATCTTCACACACCTGCGGGAAGCAGACTATCACAGTCTATGAAGGGAACAGCTTTGATTGGTAGCAAGCGCAAATACATTCCTATTTGTAGTTGGTACAGAGTGCAAAAAAGATTGGAAATCTGATAATCCGGGCTGCACTGAAGATAGTGCAGTCCACCTTGAAGGTCCCTTTTACACGGGGCAAATTCCACTCTAATCAGCAGGGGATCTGTAAACTGATCCCCTGCTGATTAGAGCAGAGTGGCACATATGTCACATTTGGGCACGGACCAAGCCCGCTCTGCTCTGTGGCTGGCTGGGTGTAAACAGACTGTCCATTTACATCTAGCTACCTCTGATCCAGTCTGCCATAGTGGAAAAGGATGCACTCTTCTGTTTTTCTTAGTGGACCCAGATGTACACCCTCCTGTCCAAAGGTCCGTCTGAAAAACTGATAGGCGAACCTGATCAGAACAGCCATGCGAATGATTAAGTAAGACCAGGTCAGTGCTTTATTTTATTGGTGGAGAAACTGTGGAGGAAAGTATTTTGTACGAGAAGACACAAAGGGGTTGATTTACTAAAACTGGAGAGTGGAAAATCTGGTGCAGCTGTGCATGGTAGCCACACAGCTTTTAACTTTTGTTCAATTAAGCTTTGACAAAAAACCTGGAAGGTGATTGATTTCTATGCAGAGTTTCACCAGATTTTGCACTCTCCAGTTTTAGTAAATCAACCCCTATGTGACAACACAGACCCCAGGTTTTAACTTTTTATTAACTTTGGATTCAAGTTCACAGTGCTGCATACCTTTCCTGATGAATGTTTCTAAAGACTGCATATCGTCTGTTTATCTTGGCTGCTGAATAAGATGGTCAGCGCAGACTTTAGAGAAAAGGTTTATCTGTTTTATGCTTTAGCTTGACTTATCAATAAAACTCATTTAATGCAGCCCATTATAAACAAATCCTAGTTAAAACAAGAGGGCTAACAAAACATTCATTCAAGTAATACAAGGAAGCAAGTACCTGTGCCAGTGGTTTGTTCTCATAAGCCTTCTCATGTTCAAAGAACATATCTAAGCCGTGCTCCTTCACTATCTTCTCAGATTCATCAGAAAAAAGGACAGCATCTCCATCAAATGCCACTCGCAGCTGATCCTCATTAATAGACACATTGTGACTGGGGTTAAAAATGGTGGCAGCAGCAATACCTGAGAGTGCGATGAGAAAAAAATGCATAAATAAAAATCTTTAGATTGTTTGTAATATGTCATTTTTGTTTTTAATGATGATTTGACTCATTTTGGTTGTCTGATTGTACACCAGTGATTTAAAGATGAACTTCAACCTTGCCTTCAGCCTTACACGGTTGTACAGGGTCCTATCCTGTACTGAAATTTATTTTCCTGATTTTACTGTAGACTTTGGGCTTATCATAGTGTGCATTAGAAGCTGTAGCACATCACAGCCTGCCCCATCTCCTGGCTAGAGGACATCCAGTTTCTTCTTGTGCTTTCCTCCCTAGCCTGAATGTCTCTGGCAGTCAGGCTCCCTATGGAAAGTTGTCTAGACAGGAACTGAGGGCTGTGGCCCATAAATGGGAATTAGGAATTAAGCAGAAGACATGAAACCGTAATTGTAAGTACCACAATTCTCCCTACCTCCATCTTGCTGAACTTTATTGAAGAGCTACCCTAATATGGGGCCATTACCATTTATATGGACTGTTGGGATACTATTAACCATACTGTGCAACTGCACTCATCCCACTGTTGTGGGTTGTTTGCACTTACTTCATGAAGATCAATGCAAAGAGCAGCCTCCATGTGGTGAGAAGTAAGAGACAAAAGGTGGTGTGAATCAGAGCGCACAGCCAATACCTGGGGGTTAGGGAAAGGAGACACCATCCTAGCAGTGAAAGAGGACCCCCCCATAAAACACATGTCAATCCCCATGACTCATGATCCAAGGGTGTTTGGATGTACTTCTGGAGCTCTAATTTGAACCATGTTGAACCTGCAGGGCCTGTGTGACGTATGCTCCAGGTGTTTAGGGGTTGTTATGGACTTGGATGGAGTGTAAAAGTTTCAAACCGCCATCCATGCACATGTATGGCAAAGAGAGAACAATCTAGAAAATCCAGTTTAAAACAGGGTATACATGGACCAGAAATTCCTGCGGAACCAACCGACATTGGTCGGTGTGTGTCAATGACTGCTTCTGTCAAATGTTCATGCTGGAAAACCAGCATTCAATCAGAGCAGCATTGGTCAATCTATTCTGATGTGAGGGGGGGGGGGGGGGGGAGTTCCCCTTGTCAGAATACAATATCTCATCTGGAAAGATCCCTGCATCACAAATCGTTTGTGTTGATGGAGGGATCTGTCAGCTGGTTGAACGAAAGAAAACAAAGTGTATACCCTACATAACAGTAGATCCCCAGCTGTAGGGTTTGGCCATGTGGAGTAGCTTGGACCCACCTACAAGATGAATTTAACATCACAGATCCTCCTGCAGGTCTTTAAAGGACCATGCTGATACTAAATACAAATAACTGATCTGATACCATAAAAGCATCAAACTTGCAGAATCCAGCAAGAGGACAAAAAAAGGCAAATTAGCTTATCACATGATAAAGAGCCTAGAAAGATCATTTTATGTCTGTGATGTATAATATTAAAGCAAGTTTAAAAGGACAGGCTTTCCTAGGGGCTGGGTTATAGTTAAGTGGTCAAAACTCCATCTTACCAGCTTCAAACACGTGAACAGGATCTAGAAGCTTTTCAGCCTAAGGCCTGATCAGGAACAACATTTTTACACTTTACATTTCTCCAAGTCCAATTCCTATGCAGGTCTCGACCTCCCTTAAAGGCCACTGAGTGGTAACCTAGGTATAATGTAAGCAAATGCCCGGTCACTACATTGATGAGCCCTCTGTCTCTGGACCACCAACTGCTCCCAACCCTAGCAAGATTCTAAACACTCTCCTAAGGTATTGGCTATGCTTCTTGCTTCTAAGTAGCACATGACATTTCCCAATAGCAATGTCGCTTGACATAAGATATTTTCATCTGTGTTAAGTAATGAGGCACTACAGTGGCTTTAAGGCACTTTACTGAACATTTCATAGAGCATCTCACAAACATTTAGTAGCACTACCCCCTTAGGAATTGCTGATGAATTTGGGTCCCCCTATAGTTCTGCACAGCCAGCCATTTAGCATTTTCCACACAGCTTTCATCCGCAGACAGAAATCAGGTCTTGAGCATTGGTTTTGTTATTTTATTGAGGGGATTAAACATGGATAGGGTAAAGGGGTGTATAGGATGTCCAAGGAAACTGAAATCCGAGGACAACTTCCTGAACTATTTACAGCTTCTTTTCTCTTACACAGTTTCTGTAGGAGTGCTAGCCAGCAGTTCCAGTTGTACTATCTCAGACCCTAGATGAACTCCTCTTCACCCAGCAATCTGGAGACTTTCTTCCTGACCAAGGTTTCCCACCAGAGTGCTCCTTCCCCTATCCTCCCAGGGGGTGTGGGTGTACTCACTTAGATCCTCTCCTGTACCGCTTGCGGAATGCCTGCAGCTACCAGGCTTATCAGCTGGGTAGCTCCATTTCTGCCATGCAGGTGGTCCTCTCTCAGGGGCCAGTCAGTCCTGAGTTTTCATCCTTTCCAGCTACAGGCTCGCAGGCAGGCCCCATCCCACTAGGCCTCCTGGCAGCCTTTCTCCTCCACCTCACAACTTCCTTTCTCCTTCTTCTACCCGACTCTCCTGCTACTGAGCAGGCTCCAGCACTTTTAAAGGATTCCAGCCCCTTGCCAAGCCTTCTGTTGGGGATTGGCCAAGGTCCCTCCAAAGTGCAGCCAACCACTCCTCAGATCCACCCACTGCCTCCAATGCCCTCCTCCAAAAGCCTCAGAGCAGGGGGAAATTCCAGAGGGGCTGGCCAGCAGAGTCTTTCAGTCCTGACCAAAATGTGACCCCTCTGACTATCTCACCTGAGCTGCTAATCAGCTCTTCACTAGTTATCAGGGCCTAGCACCCCTAGCTATACTAGGAGGGTGCTACAATTCCATTGTACAGTTTAGTCCGAGACATCTGGGATACTTCCTTCCAAACTACATAACATAACTACCAGTACTCAGTCACTAATGTGTTATAAAAGTCCCCCAATTACAAACTAGGAGGGGTGCTGTGGTGCTAACTTGATTTCAATAAACTAAGTTTACTCGTGGCTTAAGGTCTTCAGTCTCTGGGCCTTATAGTGTCTTCTGCTACTGTTTTCTACATGGCTGCTCTTTCTCTCCACATGGACCCCATATGGGCTCCTCCTCAGCCTTACATAACAAACGGACAGAGAACCAGAAAAGTACTGGCCCTGTTAGATTGTGTCTACCCATAAAGAAGAAACCCTCCTTACAGGCTACTAAAGTAAAGAAAATGAGTAAAATATTAGGAAATCGATTAAATCATACAGTAGGAATGTATATAGAAATAGCTTTTGTTTTCATGAATGGCATGACTCCTCCAAACAGAATTAACAGTGGCTGGCTATACCATTACAAAACATATTAGTTATATATGTACCTTGGGTAACCCCGGATAACATTAGCATTTTATTTATCCACTAAACAGGTGCTGCATTCCCTCACACCATCATCCTCTTGCTTTGTGACTTCATTTTAGGCTAGGTTTCAAGTGCAAACACAAGATGACATATCAAAATGCTACCAGAATGAAATAACATTTGCTTTCATACAAGCATGCCCTGTGAGTATGTTTTGTAACCGGACCTACTGTTGGACTGAAATATTTGTCGGTGTCTATAAAAAGTATAGTGTATAAGATTAACTTAAGCGCGTGCAAACAATCTTGTCTAGAAAGGATAAGAGCAGGATGTTCAGAGAATTTCATAACTTCCTATTGTACTTCAAATACTCTGTGGGCTCTTTCCTGCTTTGGTAACTCCCTCCATGTTTCAATTACTATTACCGGCGTAAAGCACCAGGTAGTTATCAGTTTTTTTACCTATCTGTAACTGGGGTGTAGGTGTCCTACTATGTGGGCTTGGGGTGGACCCACCCTTGGGAGACAGGTGGTCCAGTGTGGTGGAGTGGAGAGAAACGTTCAGAGATATAACTTCTGGTCAGCACACTTTCCCCTACAGGGAAAAGCATTGGAGATTGAGGCCCCCAAGGTTTGAAAAAAATGGTGAATGATGCTGTGTATGTGCCACAACCTTCCTTTTCTTGTACTGCTTTCACTGTGAAAAAAAAATGTTTTTGTTGAAAATGTTCTATGAATGTTTTCTGCCTTTCACCATTTTTTGGAGTTCAATAAGAGCTATTAAGAAGTTCAAGAAAACAATGTGGACTGAACGACTCAAGCCCACCTATATAGAACACCTGACTTTACTAGCTCAGCATGGGAGACAAGCTGGGAGTTTGTCTCTTTATGTTAGGCTTGAGTCATTCAGTCCACATTGTTTTTCTACGTTTTTCGGATGTGGCTTGTGAAAGTCAAAACAATTTTTCTTCAAAAAAAAAGAAGTCAAGCAGGACTCACTTTTTTTCTATGATGATAACGAGACAGTATGACCAGGGATGGACTGACCATTTGGAAACTCGGGCACTGCCCGAGGGCCCGGGGTCCGTAGGGGCCCCCATGAGATGCCCCTGGTACCTTTTTCATAGGCTTTTTAGAGTTTGGGCAAGGACACAGGGGCCCCATGATCCCATATTGCCCGGGGGCCCCATGAGTTGTCAGTCCGCCCCTGAGTATGACTTATACGTGCGAGGAGGAGAGATTGTTTGGTGACATGGTACCAGGAGGCTGCCTACTGATGGTTTGAGGTGCAGCTTTCTGCTTTCCCCTGGTGCAGAGCTTGAAACTACTGTGTGAATATAAACCTCTACACTAACTCGTGTACTTGTTTTTTTATGGTGAAAAGTGAACCTGCCTCATTAAACATGGTTTCTGACTACTCCCATATGGAAAGTGTTGGAAGGTTGAAGACCCATTGCTGGATTCTGAGGCTTAGATGAACCTACTGAAGAGAGGGTGTTTTTCATTGGTACCAATTTCTGCCACCCTCAACATTACCCCCACCTACATGCTGTCTGAATTAATTTAATAAGTAATCATGCTGAAATCAAACATCAGACAAACAAAATGGATCTTTATGTAGGCAATGAACAGACTAGAGGCAGGTTGCGGAGGTGTCAGGCATTAAAGGTACTTTTAGCTCTGAAAAAAACACTTTACCTAAACCTGAAACGTAACGCTTTACTTGACCTTAATCCTGAAAGTGTAAGAGTGGAAAGAGCGAGGAAGTGTAAAAAAAAACCCTGTAAGGTTTTCTCTGCTGTCTAATGATCACTTTATTCAGTTGTCTCTGGTTCAGAAAGTGATGAGAAAATGTTACATTTTAGTTATGTCACAGAACGAGGTGAAGGGAAATTGTATTCCAATACCAAGGGGAACACCATTTCTGTTGACATAAATGAAAAGGGATTTCTCAATGCTTTGGAAAAACAAAGTAAAAGGGAAAGATCCATGATGGGACAAAAGCAAAAAAAAAAAAAAAAAACACTGGTGACAACAGTTTCATGAGACAGGAATAGAGAATACATTTACAACAACTCAGAAACAGAAATAATTAAAAAAAACTTAAGTAGTGCATGGGAGGCTGAAATTCCTGACAGCTTTGTATTGCACGTGCCCCTGCTTCACATTTTCCTTTATTTCCTGTCTGGTGAATCTGTTGGCATGGGGACATGAGGACATCGTTTGCAGTGACATCTAATAAGGGCTTTATCTCACATTGGTGATAATTCCACTGGCTTCTTGCTGTGTCTCCAGAACAGAAAGTGAAGGTAAGAGCTTGTATTGATGGCATCGGTTTGACATCAGTTTGAGACATTTCTGAGATCATTCAGAAGTAAGTGACAGGTTCATTTAACATTCCTCAAGTGGGTTTTGTATTTCAATAGATTGTATGGGATTGTAAAACCGGTTTGAAGCAAACAAACGCCTGTTTACATGGGACCTAAATTACAATGATGGGACCCAGACAACAGAAAAAAAAAAAAAAAACACAAGCATGGCAAGGATTCTTATCCTTCCCTACTGTAGACAAAGCTAAAAAAAGTTTTTCTTAGCTTTATATGTTAACTAGAACACTTAAATGTAACCACTTAACCGCTTAAATCATAACATTAATACTAACCCATAACTTTTAATGCTAACCTGAATACTGGGGTGTCCAGTGCGTTACAGAGTACAGTGCATTGGAGTGTCCAGTGTGTTACAGAGTACAGTACATTGCAGTCTCCAGTGCGTTACAGTGTACAGTGCATTGGGGTGTCCAGTGCGTTACAGAGTACAGTACATTGCAGTGTCCAGTGCGTTACAGTGTACAGTGCATTGCGGTGTCCAGTGCGTTACAGAGTACAGTGCATTGCGGTGTCCAGTGCGTTACAGAGTACAGTGCATTGCGGTGTCCAGTGCGTTACAGAGTACAGTGCATTGCGGTGTCCAGTGCTTTACAGAGTACAGTGCATTTTGGTGTCAAGTGCGTTACAGTGTACAGTGTGTTGCGGTGTCCAGTGCGTTAGAGTACAGTGCATTGCGGTGTCCAATGTGGTACAGTGCATTAGAGTGTCCACTGCGTTACAGAGTACAGTGCATTGCGGTGTTCAGTGCGTTACAGTGTACAGTGCATATTGGTGTCCAGTGCGTTACAGAGTACAGTACATTGTGGTGTCCAGTGCGTTACAGAGTACAGTGCATTGCGGTGTCCAATGTGGTACAGTGCATTGGAGCGTCCAGTGCGTTACAGAGTACAGTGCATTGTGGTGTCACGTGCGTTACAGAGTACAGTGTTCATTGTGGTGTTCAGTGCGCGTTACAGAGTACAGTGCATTGCGGTGTTACAGTACAGTGCATTGCGGTGTCCAGTGCAGTACAGTACATTGTACAGTACATTGCGGTCCAGTGCGCTACAGTGTACAGTGCATTGCGGTGTCCAGTGCATTACAGAGTACAGTACATTGCGGTGTCCAGTGCGCTACAGTGTACAGTGCATTGCGGTGTCCAGTGCGTTACAGAGTACAGTACATTGCGGTGTCCAGTGCACCACAGTGTACAGTGCATTGCGATGTCCAGTGCGTTACAGAGTACAGTACATTGCGGTGTCCAGTGCGTTACAGAGTACAGTACATTGCGGTGTCCAGTGCGTTACAGAGTACAGTACATTGCGGTGTCCAGTGCGTTACAGAGTACAGTACATTGCGGTGTCCAGTGCGTTACAGAGTACAGTGCATTGCGGTGTCCAGTGCGTTACAGAGTACAGTACATTGCGGTGTCCAGTGCGTTACAGAGTACAGTACATTGCGGTGTCCAGTGCGTTACAGAGTACAGTACATTGCGGTGTCCAGTGCGTTACAGAGTACAGTGCATTGCGGTGTCCAGTGCGTTACAGAGTACAGTGCATTGTGCTGTCCAGTGCGTTACAGAGTACAGTACATTGTGGTGTCCAGTACGTTACAGAGTACAGTGCATTGCGGTGTCAAGTGCATTACAGTGCATTTTGGTGTCAAGTGCATTCCAGTGTACAGAGCATTGTGGTGTCCAGTGCTTTAGAGTACAGTGCGTTGTGATGTCCAGTGTGCATTCCAGTGTACAGTGCACTGTGGTGTCTACTGCGTTACATTTGTTCAAATTTGTTTTTTAAACTATAGTTCTGCCCCCCAACAGTGTGGTTGTCATTGAACTGGCCCCCTGTTTATTAAGTTTGAGGACCCCTGCTCTATACCATCAATACTACCCTTGTCTGCACTAAAAGTCTCTACTCTGAAAGCTCCCAGCGCCAAAACAAACTTACTTGGAATAGTAACCACCAAGTGTTTACCAAACAAAATAAACACCTTGCATTTTGCATAATCATATTTAAAGCGGAGTTCCACCTGAAAAAAAAAGTCAGCAGCTACAAAAACTGTAGCTACAGACTTTTAAAAAAACAGCCACTTACCTGTCCCTTGGTCCAGCAGTGTCCTCACCACCGCTGGTTTCACTGGCCGTCTTCTCTCCCTGGCGCCGGCATCTTAAGTGTGGGTACCTGGCTGTGACAGTTTGCGGCTTCACAGCTGGGTGCCCACTGCGAGAAGCGCTGCACTTTGTGAATGGCCCCATTGTCTTCTGGGACCAGAACTAGTGGGTTTCTAGAGGAGTTTTTCAGCTGTAAAAACGCTCTAATGCTGAAAAATGTGGTAAAATGCTGTAAAACACGGAAAACTGGCGTTTTTGGACTTTTCCGAGCAAAAAAAATATGTTTTTTTTTGGTAAAAAAAACATGCTAAAAACACTAAAACACAAAAAATGCGGCAAAACACAGCTAATGCTAAAGCGCTAAAAACACTAAAAAACTCACGGTTTTTAATGTGACTTTACACAGCTAACGTTACCAGCGTTATTAAAATGCCCAGTGTGCATGGAACCTAACAGTCATGAAGCCTTGAACTTCACAATAGAGATGTGCATAATAGAAAAATTTGTTTTGATTCAGATTAATTTGTTAGGTAAACCATTTTGTTTCATTGTATTCATTTTGTTAGAATGGTTCTTTTTCAGAATTCCGTTTGTATATTTGGATTGGTTTCATATATTCGTTGTTCTGAATCGATTTGTGTTTACAGAAGTTATTTGGGAAGATTGGCTTTAGTTGTTTTTACGTGTTAGTTTGTTATTTCGGGAGATTACTTATGCACTCTGAGTAATCCCTGCTAGTCCAACCCATAGAGAGAAATAGAATGAGCTGATAGGAGTAACGAAAGTAATGAATGGAATAAAATGAATCCCGGATTTATTTGTTATGTTATGATTAGGATGAGATTCTGATGGATCCACCTCCATCCAACTCAAACACAAAAAATTGGAATATTATTTCACTTTTATATCTTACTGAATTGATTGCAATATGTTTCCGTATCATATGTAGTGTATTTTTTATAATAATGAAACATGAATGCAAAAAGATTTGGCTGATTATCCAGGAGTCAAAGACTACTGCTCCACTCTCATCGGACTAAAATGAAAGGACCTGAATAATTGTGGATCATTCATTATGTCATTACATTATTTTGGATGCTTCAAACATTAACAAAAGGCCCAAACTATTGCATCATGTAATCCTACTGAAACAAATAAATATAAATGAATTAGTTGTTTTCATTATCATTTATTTCGGATTCGTTGGAATTCATTACTATTGCGATTTACAGATTCAGATACATCTGAATCTCCAAATAACGAAAATGTTGTCTGAATTTCGATTTGTAACAAATCGCACAGGTCTACCTCACAGCCTTCATCTCTATTGAAGGCAGTTGCTTACCTTCTTCTATAGCTTCCTGTACCTTCTGAGCATCAGATGAGAGGTATAGATTGGTATGGTAAGCTTTAAGGTAGCCAATGGGGCTGTTGCCTCCAGTCATGCAGAAACGTTCAATAAAAAGATCTGAAAAAAAACAATATACGGCAATTACAAACATTCAAGCCTGAAACATGCACCAGCCCTTATATAATTATAACACTTATGTTCAGTCCGGTAACGAGTAGAACTAGTCACCTGAATTCAATGCTGGGCACTTTATGCCAAACTTGTTTCATGCAGTTATATTGTTTACCATTTGCTATACAGCTCTGGAATAATGAAAGGTTTCTTTAATTACCTTTAACAAACAATGATTACACTCAGGGCTGGTGCTAGACTATTTTGCGCCCTTTGGCCGTTAGCATTTATTAGCTCCAGTCTATCTGAAAATTGCTATGCATAGCAAATACTCAATAACACAATCATCATTCCCTCCCCTCATGCCAGGGTACTAGGTGTAATCCTAGACTCCCATCTGTCCTTTCACCCCCAAATCCATTCACTGCCCAAATCTTGTAGACTTCACCTCCGCAACATCTCCAAGATACGGCCGTTCCTAACCTCGGAAACCACTAAGCAACTTATTCACTCCCTTGTTATATCTCGCCTTGACTATTGTAACTCCCTCCTCATTGGCCTACCTAATCGCAGGCTGTCCCATCTTCAGTCTATCATGAATGCCGCTGCCAGACTCATTCACCTTACTAACCGTTCTGTATCTGCCACCCCTCTCTGCCAATCCCTCCACTGGCTTCCCATTGCCCAACGGATAAAATTCAAAACACTAACAATAACGTATAAAGCCATTTATAACTCTGCCCCAAATTACATCAACGATCTTGTCTCTAAATATCACTCTCAGCTCCTAGCAAGACCTCCTGCTCTCTAGCTCCCTTGTTTCCTCCTCCCATGCTGGTCTCCAGGACTTTTCCAGAGCTTCCCCCATCCTCTGGAACTCTCTACCCCAATTTATCAGACTATCGCCTACTCTGCTCACTTTTAGGTGATCTCTGAAAACCTATCTCTTCAGGGAAGCCTATCCTGCCCTCGGCTAATAATGGAATCTTCTACTCTTCCAACCAGTCCATCCCCCACAGTTACTACCTTTTGTACCACTAGCCCCTCCCTCCTAGCATGTAAGCTCCAAGGAGCAGGGCCCTCCTTTCCCTCTTATATTGAACTGTATTGTTGCTGTATTGTCTCCCGTTATATTGTAAAGCGCTGAGCAAACTGTTGGCACTATATAAATCCTGTATAATAATAATAATATATAGTAAGCTAGAAAACAAAGCATAATAAATATGTGCAAAGTGTAAATACTAATGCAACCAATTAGTTTTCATCTCCAGTTTTTATGTTATAACTGAGTAAAGTACACCTAGTAGCACGAATATTGATTGATGCATGTTACAGTACTTTGCATGTAGTGTACTTTGCACTTTCTTAAATTACCTTGTTAAATATTAAAGCCTGGTATGGTCTTCCCACAAATACTGATCTGTTGTTGTGTGTTGAGTTCTAAGTACCTAAGTATATACTATAGATGGTCATTATGCATGCAGGAAAAGAATGTGGAGAGTATAAGACCATGAATGACTGTGTACATAAAAAATGGCTGCATAGCATCATACTTACTATAATGGTTTATGGTATTAATAAGTCTCACTCCGACTTGTGCGTGATTATTAGTCATAAGGACAATGTCAAATAGATCTTCACTATCTGGGTAAAGCAGGCGCAGGTGACTGTTGACTGCTTCCAGGGCCTGGGGGAGAATCAAGACAGGAAAATTATACACATCACACATTTTCCCCTTACAAATGTTTAACATCATCTTCTTGTTCTAGTCTGTTTAAATCCTTAGGTCAAATCTGTTCACTGCTACAGTCAAATTAAAGAGATTCTTTCTTATAGCAAATTACCTATATGAACATATGTCACATATACAGCATGTAGCCAGGTACTTGGCTATGATGAGATTGCCGCAGCTCTTTACACTATCACTGAACTAATAGCATGATTCACCTCACTGTCTGCCTCCGGCCAGCAGGGGGAGCTGGGAAGTCAAGGAGCTCCATAGACCTCTATGCTGGCTGTAGTGGAAAGTGGGAAATGAAGTTCAGGAAAGGAGTCATGCTATGGACTCTTATTGACTATTGAACTGCATTTCTCAGAGGGAGCTTTCCAGGAGGAGTGGAAACAGCTGCATTTTCTCAAGCTGTAGAGGACACAGCTTCCTCTTGCCATGGGGGAGAGTGCGAATCACTCTCCATTGTGTACCTCGACTGCTGCTTAAGAGTGGCCTGAGAAGGATCAGCAGTGCTGAGTCCAGATGTGCCAAGAGCCTGAATCACCTGGGTGCACAGCAGAGAGTGGACTAATCATTGTGTGTGACTGGATGGTGAGCTTCAATATCAATGGAACACAGAGCTGCTGCTCTGGGGATTTACTATCTGCTGCTAGAGTGTCTGAGCCCTTTAGGAACTGACCATACAGCCATCTAGTATTACTTCCTGCAGGCTTGACAGGCGCTATTCTCATGTGCACCAATGTTACAACTAGGCCCCAACACTAGAAGGCCAAAGAGTTAGGACTAATGACTGTTCCTTTGCAGCTGCGACCAAGAGATCTACACTTGGTGCTTATGCTAAGTGGTCCCTTTCAGTGAACATTGCACCATATCCTAGCCATTCTCTTAGAGTGCACTCTAGACTAGTCATAGTATTAATATATATAATGCTGTTAATGCTTACACTCTCCAGCCACTTTATTAGGTACACCTGTTCAATTGCTTGGTAACAAAAAAGGGGAAAAAAGGGAATTTAAGTGACTTTGAACATGGCATGGTTGTTGGTGCCAGACGGGCTGGTCTGAGTATTTCAAAAACTGCTGATCTACTGGGATTTTCACACAACCATCTCTAGTGTTTACATAGAATGGTCAGAAAAAGAGAAAATATCCTGTGACCGGCAGTTTTGAGGAAAAAAATGCCTTGTTGATGTCAGAGGTCAGAGGGGAATGGGCAGACTGGTTGCTGCAACATTCGGATGTTAGGGTCAGAATTTGGTGTAAACAACATGAAAGTATGGATCTATCCGGACCCGTATCAATGGTTCAGGCTGGTGGTGGTGGTGTAATGGTGTGGGGGATATTTTCTTGGCACTAGCAAGGTGTACTTAATAAAGTTGCTGGTGTGTGTATACATATATATATATATATATATATATATACATACATACGTATACACACACATTATATTGCCAAATGTAGTGGAATGCCTGCCTTTACACGCACATGAACTATAATGGCATCCCAGCTTCAACTCTTCTGGGAAGGCTGTCCACAAGGTTTAGTAGTGTGTCTATGGGAATGTTTGACCATTCTTCCAAAAGCACATTTGTGAGGTCAGGCAGTGATATTGGATGAGAAGGCCTGGCTCACAGTCTCTGCTCTAATTCATCCCAAAGGTGTTCTATTGGGTTGAGGTCAGGACTCTGTGCAGGCCAGTCAAGTTCCTCCACCATGAACTCGCTCATCCATGTCTCTATGGACCTTGCTTTGTGCACTGGTGCGCAGTCATGTTGGAACAGGAAGGGCCCATCCCCAAACTGTACCCACAAAGTTGGGAACATGAAATTGTCCAAAATGTCTTGGTATGCTGACGCCTTAAGAGTTCCCTTCACTGGAACTAGGGGGCCAAGCCCAACCCCTGAGAAACAACCCCACACCATAATCCCCCCTCCACCAAACTTTACACTTGGCACAATGCAGTCAGGCAAGTACTGTTCTCCTGGCAACCGCCAAACCCAGACACGTCCATCGGATTGGCAGACAGAGAAGCATGATTTGTCACTCCAGAGAACACATCTCTACTACTCTAGAGTCCAGTGGCGGCATGCTTTACACCACTGCATCCGACGCTTTGCATTGCACTTGGTGATATAAGGCTTGGATGCAGCTGCTCGGCCATAGAAACCCATTACATAAAGCTCTCTATGCACTGTTGTGCTAATCTGAAGGCCACATGAAGTTTGGAGGTCTTTAGCTATTGACTCTCTGCAGACATTTGGTGACTCCTGCATACTGTGCGCTTCAGCATGGGCTGACCCGCTCTATCATTTTACGTGGCCTACCACTTGGAGTTGCTGTTGTTCCCAGTTGCTTCCACTTTGTTATAATACTACTAACAGTTGAGTGTGAATATTTAGTAGCAAGGAAATTTCATGGATGGACTTATTGCACAGGTGGCAACCTATCACAGTACCACACTTGAATTCACGGAGTTCCTGAGAGCGACCCATTCTTTCACGAATGTTTGTAGAAGCAGTCTGCATGCCTAGGTGCTTGATTTTATACACCTGTGACCATGGAGGTGATTGGAACCCCTGAATACAATGATTTGGAGGGGTGTCCCAATACTTTTGGCAATATAGTGTGTGTGTATATATATATATATATATATATATATATATATCTGTACCTAATAAAGTAGCCGGTGAGTGTATATGCACTGTTTATTGCTGACTGTTCTGATTTATGTGTTGATTTCGGTCTAGTGGTACAGAACTCTATTGTTGGCATTGTGATTACACTGTCTAGCGGTCTGTCTCTGAACCTACCTTCTGTGTGTTCATTTATGCTCAAACCACCATTTATTCTAACTCAAACCAATGCATTCGGGAGATTTACTAAAACTGGAGTGTGCAAAATCTGGTGCAGCTCTACATATAAACCAATCCGTTTCCAGATTGTATTGTCAAAGCTTAATTGAGCAAACTGAAGTTATAATCTGATTGGCTACCATGCTCAGTTGCACAAGATTCTGAGTGCTCCGGTTTTAGTAAATCTTCCCCAGTGTGTATGTATGCATGTATTTATATGTATGCAGTGTGTACATATGTTGTATGCATGTGTATGCATGTATGTGTACAAAGTACCATGTGTGTATGTTATATGTATGTGTATGCAAGTGTTAGTATGTAGCATGTATGTTCATGCAATGTGTATGTATGTTTCATGTATGTGTATCAAGTGTGTATGTATGTTACGTGTGTGTATGCAATATTTATGTATGTTGTATGCATATGTACGCATCTATGTGCATGTAGTGTGTATGTATGCATATGTATGTTTCATGTATGTGGATGTAGTGTGAATGTATGTATGCCTATGCATGTGTATGTATGTTGTATGCATGTGTATGCAATGTATATATATTTTGTATGCATGTGTATGCAGTGCAATTAGAATTATGTTCTAAGAGTGTTGTGCAATGGACTTTATAACTGACTCCTAAACTGTGACACCGACACATACGCCTAACCCCTGCACTCTGTTCATTACCCACTTTTGCCTCCCACAATGTGTACATTACACACCTGACCCATGTACTGTATGAGTTACCCACCACATACTCCTGCACTTTGTACATTACCCAACCTGAACCCCTACACCGGGTATGTTACATATTTCTGATTCCTGCACTCTCTACATAGGCTCATGTTTTAAGCCCCTCCCAATGTTGGCACAACCACCATTCAATGCTATTAGCTGCACCCACCACTCTGCCCAATTATTTGCCCCGATTCCCTGCAATTCAGATTATCAGAATTTCTCAGGCATGTACACAGTTTATTGGAGCATTCACCCTATAACAGATGGAATCAAGCCACCTTCCTTCAGGACAATATGCAGATCCTAAAGCAGCAATATTTGAGTATTTGCTCAGGCTGGCACAGCCTAGTAGTAACACATTCTAAATCTATCTACCATTTTAAGCTGTTTGTTCAGATAAAATGTTACCATTATTTCCTTTTGGGGTATGTTTTACCTACTGTAATTCCTTCTTTATACCTGATGATATTTGCATAGTTCTTTAACTATTATTATGATATATGATACATTGCTGCAATTATTTAAAATGTATTGAATGGAAAAATTAACAAGTAATTTGATCATCAGGGAAATCTAGTAAACATTCTTCCACCATGGTGTTGGTGGATTGTAAAGCTCTCCACCTTGGGCAATCAGAGGAATCCTTGTATTCACTGATAAAAATACAAGGCTTCTCCTGAGTGACGGTGATGGGTATAGATTGAGTTGGTCTTTAGCACATCAGCAGAGGAAAAGTGTCTCATACTGCTGCCAGAACACAGCTCCTCTAACTGTATCTAAAGTAGCTAATTCAACCACAGTCTAATATGGCAGCCCCAGACCATTCTGGCATGGAAATTGTTTGGACCAGCTTGGCCCATATCACATATTTAACCACTTCCAGTCCGGGCCAATTTTCTGCTTTCAGTGCTATCACACTTGAATGACAATTGCGTGGTCATGCAACACTGTACCCATATGTATTTTTTAGCATTTTTTTTAGACAGATAAAGCTTTATTTTGGTGGTATTTATTGACCACTGGGATTTTAATTTTTTTGCTATATAAATGAAAAAGTCCAAACATTTTGAAAAAAAGTGTTTTTCTTATACAATTTTGCAAATAAATAATCTTTCTTCATAAACCTTGGCCAAAATGTATTCAGTTATCTTTTTAGTGAAAAAAAAAAATAAACCCAAATTAGTCATATAACCAAAAAGGATAATTTTTCAAAAAAAAATGTAAATTTTTTTTTTTTATTTTTTTTTTTATAATATTTGTTTTTTTTTTCTACATACTGTCACCCTAGCAGTACAGTGTCACTATGGTGACACTGTACTACTTGTGAGGGGTGATGAAGATTTTTTTTTTTTTACACTGATTGCTTTTACA